TGTGGATGGTGTACCCTGGAGAGCAGGTACAGAGCTGGTCAGGATGCCCACTGTGGATGGTGTACCCTGGAGAGCAGGTACAGAGCTGGTCAGGATGCCCACTGTGGATGGTTGGCTCTTTACCCTCTCAAGCTTTGAAGGTGATGGCAGGTCGTTTGTTCAGCTGCAGTGACCTGGCATCATCCTGATCCCCCCCTACCCCGCAACTTTCTCAAGCATCAATCCCAGTTTGGGAATGTTCAATATCCACAGATTGCTGGACTGAGTGGAAATGGAGAAGTTGTTGATTATCACCAGGCTTTATGCCAGGAAATGCCTGCTGATGGAACCCAATTGGCCTGGCTCCAATTTTAACACAATGCACACCCACACCTGTCCCCGCAACCCCCATTTCCCAGTGCTGGATATTCTGTCCAATGACAACCATTTCCATCTATCCAGGCACCCAATCCTTTAACAATCCAGTACAACCCCCTGCTAAACCTGACAGAGTGCAAGCCTCGTCACTTAACACATGAAACCCTCCTATCATTTTGATGCAGAGGGAGGATGATTGAGTGTTTTGTTTGTTTGCTCATGGGACGTGGGTGTTGCTGTGTGGGCCAGCATTTAATGCCCATCGCTAGTCGCCCCTTGAGAAGGTGATGATCAGCTGTAGTCCATATGCGATGGGTTGACCCACAATGCCTTTAGGGAGGGAATTCTGGGATGATCCAGCGACAAGGCAGGAATGGCAATATATTTCCAATTGAGGATGGTGAGTGACTTGGAGGGGGACTAGCAGGGGCTGGTGTTCCCATCTATCTGCTGCCCTTGTCCTTGTAGATGGAAGTAGTCATGGGTTTGGAAGGTGCTGTCTGAGGATCTTTGGTGAATTTCTGTAGACCATCTTGTAGATAGTACACACTGCTGCTACTGACGTTTCGGGCCTAGACCCTTCTTCAGAAAATTTTCTGGTCCTTAAAAAATAACTCAGAGGCAGCTGGGGATAGGCTGGGAATCCAATGGGCTTGCTAACACCCAACCCAACTTTGGAGAGCAAGATAGTAAAATGTGAACTGGCTTAATCGGCGCACGAAATACAACACAAAACACGGGCACCTACCTCAGCAGCAGGGTTCCTTGTGTGAGAATGCTTTGTGTGAGTTACACAATGTTGGATTCTCCTGTACATTCTCCTCCAATTGGGACCTCTCTTTCTCTGGCAGGTGTTCCCTGCAGCAGGACTGTGTCAATTCCACCGAGCCGTTGTTCTGGACCAGCCTGAGCTCCGGAGTACAGCAGTGCCCCAGCATGAATATCGTACCATCGGAGATCGACGCAGCGAGTGTGGCCCAGCAGGTAACCATGCCAACAGCTCACCCAATGGCTGCAGCTATTATCCACAGTCTGTATTAACATCAAATCTCAAAGGCCTGTCATCGCGATGGTCTCTCATAATTCTGACTAATGCTTAAATATATTTGGCAATAGTCCTGGCCAGTAGAGAACATGGTGAGGTGTATGACAGTGTGTGATGGGAGCAGTTGTAGGCCATTCAGCCCATCATGACTGCGCCATCATTCAATGAGATCATGGCTGATCTAATAATCCTCATCTCCGCTTCCCTGACTGTTGTCTATAACCCTTGGTTCCATTTCTGATTAAAAGTCTGCCTGTCTCAGCCTTAAACATCTTTTTAACAACCCAGCCCCAACAGTCCTCTGTGGTCAAGATTTCTGCAGATTCACCACCCACTGAGAGAAGAAATTCCTCCTCATCTCTGCCTTAAATGGGTGACCTCTTATTCTGAGATCATGCACCCCTCCAACCCCATCCTTGACTCTCCCACAAGGGGAAACAACGTCTCCACATTGACCCTGTCAATTTCCCAAAGAATCTTGTATGTTTCAATGAGGTCACCTCTCTTTCTTTTAAATTGCAATGAGTTTAGGCCTTTTCTACTCAATCTTTCATCATGAGACAGTCCGTCCATTCCCAGTACCAACCCATTGCATCTTCTCTGGGACTGTCTCTATAATGCCAGTGTATGTTTCCTTGAATAAGGGGCCCAAAGCTATTCATAGTATTTCAGCTATGGTCTGACCAGTGCCTTGTATTGTTTTTGCAAAACCTCCCTACTTTTATATTCCACTCTCTTTGAAGTAAAGAGCAACGTTCCATTCGCCTTCTCTATTACCCGTTGAACTTGGGGTGCTAATGTTTTGTGATTCATGGATGGTGACTCTGTTCTATAGCTTTCTGCACTCGTTCTCTATTCAAATAATATTTGGCTTCTCTATTCCTGCCAGTGTGCATAACTTCATATTTTCCCACATTTATATTCCATCTGCCATGTTTTTGCCCACTTGCTTAATCTGTCTCTATCCTTCTGCAGACTCTGTGTATCGTTTTCACAGTTGCCTTCCCACCTTCCTTTGAGTCATCTGCAAATTTGGCAATAGAACATTCACTTTTGTCATCCAAGTCATTAATATGTATTGTAAATAATTGTAGCCTCATCTCTGATCAGCGCAGTAAACCTGTCAGACATGATTTCCCCTTCACGAAACCATGCTGACTCTGTTTAGTAAGATTATAAATTTCTAAATGGTCTGTTATTACATCCTTTATAATAGACTCAAACATTTTCCCAATTACACACGTTAAGCTGGCTGGCCTCTAGTTAACTTGTTTTTATCGTCTCTTTCCCATTTTAAATAAAGGTATTACATTGGCAGTTTTCCAATACTTTAGAACTTTTCCAGAATCTAAAGAAACTCTGGATGATTACCACCAGTTCATTCACCATCTTTGTAGTGACTTCCTTTAGTATCCTCGGAAACATCCTGTCAAGCCTGGGGGACGTTTCTGTCTTTAGCCCCTTCAGTTCCCCGGTACTTTTTCTTTAGTGATAGTTAGTGTATTTACTTTTGCTCCTCCTTTTGCCCCTTGGGTTTTTGGAATGCTGTTAGTGTCTCCTCCTGTGAAGATTGATGCAAAGTATTTATCCAGTTCCTCTGTTCCCCATTAAGATTTCTACAGCCTCATTCTCTAAGGGGCCTATGTTAACTTTGGCTTCTCTCCTTTCTTTTTTTTATGTTTTTTAAATAGGCTTTTGCTGTCTGTCTTGATATTACTTGCAAGTCTGCCCTGAAAGTTTATTTGTTCTCACTTTGTTTTTTTGGCTGGCTTTTGTTGGTTTTTATAACTTGTTCAATCATCTGTCTTACTACTAGTCTTTGCCACTCATTTTTCGTTCAGTTTGATGCTATCGTCAACCTCACTTGTTAACCATGGTTGGCTTATTTCTTTCCTGGAATCCTTCTTCCTCACTGGAATATGTCTTCTCTGTGAGTTCAGAACTATTTTCTTAAATGTATGTCACTGTTCTTCAACGGTCTTTTCTGCTGAGCACCTTCTCCAGTTTGTCCAAGCCACTCCAGCCAGCTCTGCTGTCATTCCTTGTAATTACCCTTACTTAAACTTTTTCAATATTGCTTCCAAACCAAGTTCCTCCCTCTCCACTGAATGCTAAATTCTACCATGTTATGATCACTGTTTCCTAAGGGGTCTTTTACATTTATTAAACCTGCCTCATTACCATCACCAATTCCAAAACAGCCAGGTCTCACATTCCTGAATATTGTCTGTGAATTCTTCCGTCTGGCTTCCCCTGACAATCTGACTACCTCAATCTACACAAAGAGTAAAGTCACCCAAGATTGATGTACTGCCTTTGTTACATGTCCTCTTTATCTCCTGATTGATGCATCCTGACAAATCGTGAACATGACGATTAATCACTCCGACTGATAGTGGACGCACACAGTAACCATCCTGACCAATAGTGAAGATGGTCAGTAATAATCCTGACCGATAGTGAAGATGGTCAGTAATAAACCTGACCGATAGTGAAGATGGTCAGTAATAATCCTGACCGATGGTGAAGACGGTCAGTAACCATCCTGACCGATGGTGAAGATGGTCAGTAATAATCCTGACCGATGGTGAAGATGGTCAGTAACCATCCTGACCGATGGTGAAGATGGTCAGTAACCATCCTGACTGATGGTGAAGGTGGTCAGTAATAAACCTGACTGATAGTGAAGATGGTCAGTAATAATCCTGACCGATGGTGAAGATGGTCAGTAATAATCCTGACCGATGGTGAAGGTGGTCAGTAACCATCCTGACCGATAGTGAAGATGGTCGGTAATAAACCTGACCGATGGTGAAGGTGGTCAGTAACCATTCTGACCGATAGTGAAGATGGACAGTAATAAACCTGACCGATGGTGAAGATGATCCTTAGTCGTTATGTCACTGATGTTGTAATCCTGAGTCCTAGAATAATTTTCCAAACAAATGAGTTCACCTCTCGCCAGAGCGACTGGATGAACTGGAAATCAAACAGTGATACCAGTCTGGGTGAGGAAGCCAGTGTGTGTGGTCTGGTGAGGGTGAAATGATCAGCTTTGCGGATTAAAACAAAAACAGATGTTATATGGATTAATTATTCCCCTTTACGTGACTTGAGTGTGAACATCAGACTGGTGCTCATGTGAACAACCTTGGGGATGTTTAACTGTTTGGAAGGTGCTATATGAAGACAGGTTATTGTTGTTGTTGCTGCAATGCTAACTAGGCTGTTGATTTGACCCCTCCAGAACATTGGAATCACCATCCATGGGAATGTGCCCCAGCTGATTGGAAGAGACGTCTATTGTGTTTATGGGGATGAGGAGAAGACCCCAGTCACTGTCTATGAAAATAACTCCAGTCAATCCCAGTTAGTTCATTGCCCTTTCCTAAAGAAGGATAAATACTCCACATTCCTGGTGGACAAAGGTACAGAGTCTTGTGAGCTGTTGAGAGAGAGAGAGAGATGGAACCTGTTGTCTTACTGAGCAGTGAGTGTGGGGCTAGTGTGGAAACGTGTCATTGTCCATGCACAGACCATGAAAAGACTCTTTGAAAAGTCTAACCGAAGTTTAACACGAGGCTGGTGGCATTTATATTTATACTGTGAGCTCCCACCCACATGATTTCTATTCCGGGCCCGTTCTCTTAGGATGTGCCAGGAGCTCACTGCCCTTCCCCCGTGCTGGGTTGGCACAGACTGCTTAAAGGGTCATGCTGCTCCCCTTCAATCCCCTTCACTGTGGGTTTTCCCCACTCCTTACAGCTCTAATTCACAGGGTTCATTTCACTGGGCACTGGCTAATTCACAGGGT